AGTTCATTAGGGTGAAAAATGTTCACCTAGTCTATGTTGTGAGCCAAATGTGAGTTAAATATGATATTGTAGATCAACGAACTCAAATTTAGATACGTGTGGTGTTTAAATATCATTTGTACAACATTCGAGATAAAGACATATGCTCTTTGGGAAAAAGGAAAAAATGTCGTAGCACATGTTTCATACCATGTGTGCTAATGTCGACCAATTGGGTTAACATAAGTCCATTTTTAACTTATTGTTGTGTGAGACCTAGAGATTTTATGATGGCTTAAGATTTTGTACCCTCAAAGACTCCGATCAGATACTTGAGATTTAGTGTGATGTTAGCTATCTTAGTATGTTTCCAAAAGACCATGAACACAAATTCTGTCTAGCAGTCATACTAATGTTAAGGGGATCGTGAGAAGAGGAAGATCATTGATGGAATATCATTTATATGTATTCACTGGTGCATCAATTATAACTTATGAGTTATAGTTCTGAATACAAGAAATAATGATATATGAGATTTTGAGATTATATCAAATATGATTTATTTAATCTAGGGTATTGCATACTTTATGATCTACTTGCAGGTTTGCACTCGACGAGAGGCTATATGCTCCTAATAGATGTATAGCACTTAGCTCTCGCAGAATGCTGGCCGCACAGTCTACTTCCCTGTATGAATGATTGAGGAGATGAGATGAGAATGTTTCTCAAACTAGATGAGCACTCCTATTATGTGTGAGTGGGAGATGTAGGAAATAAAGTCCATACATAATGGATTCTCTTAGGTCCCACTAGGGGAAAACCCTGTAATTTTAGTAATTATTGTAACCCTAGTATTCCCCATATAAGTACACATACAATGTACAACTAAATATACAGAATATGCAGTATTTATCCTACACTTAGTCTTCTCCTACAATTATACTAGGGTTTAAACTGTGGCTTTGGGGGTTGATCCAATACACTGTGATAACCACCACCGACCAATAATTTCAGCTGCGGTTTATCCGTCTTCCGTTTCCACTACAAAGAACAAGTAAGTTCTCTGTTTATGATTTACGCGCTATCTAATGTGTTTAGATTTATCGCATTCCTTCAGACACTTAAGGAAGCACAAGAAATAACTCTACAAACGATTGCTGTCTTTTTTTGGTTGACATGGTTTTCGGGCTAGCTTGCGCGCGCCCAACTATTCCACCAGGTACCTGCCAGTGGCGGAGACATGATTTTCGCTAAGGGGGTTCAAAAAAAAGAAAAAGTTAAAAGTATTAAAAGAGACAGTGGCCAGTGAGAATTGAACCAATGACCTTACAAAAGTTTTGAACCCCTTTGACCACTAACCTATGCTTTTGGTCTATATATGTCGAGGGGGATTCAAAGTATTATATATAGAGGTACAAGCAGAATTTTGTCTTATATGTATAATGTAATTTTCCGGCAAAAGGGGTTCGGGTGTGTTTGCAATAAAATTTGTGCAGAAAATAAAAACTGCAATCACAAACAATAATAAAGAAATAATTATTTTATTGATAAACATCGAGGGTTACAAGACTGTTTATCCCTTGATTCTTCCCTCCGATTTGTTCTACGTGATTCGAGAGCCTTAGCGGCATATTTATCAAACGTAGTACTCAATAGAGTCGTCTTGAATTTAGGATTTATCTTGACCTGTTAAAATTCAGTGTCTACAAGATACTATGTCTTTCGCCGGAACTACACGAATCTGAAAGTTACTGCAGCTAGGTGGAATTTAAGAATTTACTATTTCCAGATCGAAAGGAGTTCTGCTGTGAAATACATATGTGTTGCAGCTCTATTAGTTTACTTTCTAACAGCGTAAACGGATTACAATTTGGAGTCTCCTAACTCGAGATACGAATTTTTCGATAGGAGTGCGCAAAGCTAGATTGCAAGTGCTACAGACATTAGGAGCATATTCGGAATATTATTGTAGCCATTCTGCGGGGAATCCTGCTATGAAATTTTTCAAGTGTGACAGGTATCAGAGCTTTCTTTCCAATGGAGCAAATGGATCGCGATTCGTACACTCCTAGCTCGAGATATCAATCTTTTGGTGAGACTGTACAATGCTGTAAAGTTAAAACACTAGACACGTTTATCAATTTCAAAAGAATATTGCGGCTAATCCTCAAGGAATTTGGTGCTGAATTTTTGATATGTTCCAGCCCCTCGAGTTATGATTCTTTAGGAAGAAGCGGCTTGTGATTTCATTGCTCCTACCATGAGAAATAAATATTTTTGCAGAGATGCGCTAAGTGTTTGCTCGCCGACGTTGGAAAGGCCTACTCCAGTTGTCTTCCTTGTCAACCTACAATGATGCGATGTGGTACATGTTGGCTTGCCAATGATGAAATATTGTATCTACAAGCCTCCAAGAGTAGAGATTTTGTCGCCAGGGTTGAAAGGACACTTCATATGTCTCTCTCGCCAAGCCACAACAAAGAGACAAGAGGTTCGCTAGCAATGCATCTTCTTAGGGATATCAAGATCGCTGGAACTATCGCAAAATCCTGCAAAAGAAAATATCTTGAAAGTCCTCAGTTCCAATAGCACGACGTTTCAGCAACACAACACTTCAACTATACTCATAAATGTCGATGCAGATGACATAAAACTTTTGATTTCACATGATTGATTGGTATCGACGGTGCAAAGCTCAGTTTAGCAATAAGTATCAATGTTGACGACATGACGCTTCTCAAGCACTCGATAAATATTTTCATCCTTTTAATCTCTTGACAGTGATGTATCAGATCCTTGTAGCATTGAAGCAATGAAATATCTATTTTGGCTCGACACAAATTGCCTTCTTTCTTTCTGCAATATGCGCATATTTGAGTAATCAACGTGATGCTTCAGCTCGAATTTTGATGATCATGTCACGTTGAAACACTTTTTTTTAAAGCTTATGCGACTGAACTTAGAATAAAACTCTAAGCTGCCTACGTACCTCGGTGAAGAGGATCAAGTCATAACGTAGTTCAAAATAAGTGAGTTTATTTTTTATTTTTTTTATTTTTTTATATCCTAACTTTTGCCTAGGCCGCCTCTTTCGAGGTTTTCAACCAACCGGACCTTTTGTTTTTTGCCTAGGTTGCCTCTTTCAAGGTTTTCAACCTAGCGAATTTTTTTTATGTCCTAACTTTTGCCTAAGCCGCCCCTTTCAAGGTTTTCAACCTAGCGAACTCCTTTTATTTTTTTTGCCTAGGCCGCCTCTTTCAAGGTTTTCAACGTAGCGATTGTTTTTTATGTCTTAACTTTTGCCTAGGCCGCCCCTTTCGAGGTTTTCAACCTAGCGAACTCCTTTTTTATTTGGTGTCGTTCGCAGTTTAGGCTCATGCGGTCCAGGAGCATAGCAACATGCAGTTTAGACTCGTGTGTTAAGGACTCCGTTGTTACGGGTTAATTTCCGGGAAGAACTCCGTTGATCACTCCTTTGTTGAAGAACTATGCACTTGGTGATTGATCTCTCTGTTTGTGGATGCCTTCACCAATTGCGGAATGTTCTTCTCCAACTCTGAATCTCCTCTGAGAGTTATGTAACCCCTCTATTTATAGTTGTAGAAGATGGACAGTCCAGCTACATATGAACTCTCTTGCTTGATTCTGATTGACTCATGTGAGTCATCAACCCTATCATATAAGCTATGTCATAATCTTGCTTGTGATTTTCCACGACATGATATTTTAGACACTTGGCAACTCTTGATGGTCACTGTTTTGGTCTAGGATTGCCACATCTTTTAACACGTGGCCTCATCTTGTTAGCTTGGAGTTTGACTGGATATGCCATGTCACTTGACACATGGCATGAGTCTGGATCTTAAAATGAATGGACCTTGGGCTTAAAAATAATAAAATGGACTGATTTGATTTGTAAAGTCTAAATTAATTATTTAACCCAAATAAAATTAAGATTCAATCCAAATTTTGTATGGATTAAACTTAATAAATTTTATACGTCTACAGGGTGAACCCCCTTCCGTCCCCCTAAATCAGCCCCTGGTACTTGCTCTCTCCTGCCATCACAGGCAAATGCGGACCCAGGATTCGACGGTCGCGGGAGCAGTATTATATTTTAATATAAATTTATCACTGCTCATAAAGATTGGTACATGTCCTATGCTAATATCTAACTATTTCTTGAAGATATTTGCAAGTATACATTGAGTTTTTGTCGAAGTTTTCGGGTGCTGGTGACCCCTCTCCCTATAGCGTGTGTCTGCCTATGATCACAGGTACCAGGTAATTTAGCCTACCAAGGCTTAGGCAAACAAGAAGAAAATACCTAGTAATTGTTTTTCTTTTTTTTTAGCCGCTGAGATTTGAACCTAAGACGTCATGGTTCTCCTCTCACGTCACAAAAGACAGCAGCCACAAATTAGTATAAAGAGCTTCTGTAATACCACATTCAAGGTGATGGTTTTCTAATTTTATGTTCTTCTGCTGTGCGCTGCATTTTTGTGATCGTGTTCTTTGATAACTCTGTTACATGTACTTTCTAATGTGGCGCTAGATTGTTTGCTCTATGAGGACGGTAGACTGTTGAACCATTGCATTTATATCCTGTCAGCTAGTTTATGTTTTTGTTGAACTTTCTGATAGTTGCATCACGAAATCAATCTGGTATCTATTGTTTGCAGACCTAGTATAGCTCTTGAGATATAAAATTCAGAATAGTAGCGTCTTCTTGATATGAACCCCGTGCTACTAAATTTTAGTGATCTAAACTGTCTTACATCCATAGTTGGAACTAAGGTTTTGAGTTAGAGGGCATGGAGTATCATTACATTTACTAATCATTTGTGACAATAGAATATGAACTTAGTATAATCATACACATTTTAAAACATTTCCAACTCCATATGTATATATGTTGTATATGTATGTATATTTACATATTATATACAGTCAAACCTCTCTATAACAGCTTAATTTGTTCCGATATTTTTTGGTTGCTATAATAAAGTGTTATAGAGAATATATATTACAACATAACATAAAAATCAATTCCGAGTAAAACTTGACTTTTATAGTGAATGATTGTTATATAGAGATGTTATATAGAGATATGACTGTAATTTGAGCCGGAAATAGTGAGTGTATCTGCATTCTTTGGCAGAAGCATGGATAGGTGTACTCGTCCATGCTTTTATCCATTGTTATTTAAGCTAAATGATGATACTTCAACTTTTTCATTTTAGGTTGAAGCCAAGAGATTTCATAGTTCTCTTCTTCAATATTACTAGAAGGTAGTTGCTGGTTAGGTGATGCTGCTGCTTCAGCCTGTAGATATGGTGCCGCCGGCCGCAATGCTGATGTCGGAGTTTCCATTTCAGTCTGCGGGCATAATAAACAAGAAGATATTGTTATAGGTTTGATACATACTCAATTCATACTCTATTGTAAGATTTTATACACGCTTTAACAAACATGAAAAAAGGGCAGGCCAGTGCAAAAGCTAAGGCATCTCGCGTTCATGCAGGGTTCGGAGAAAGGCCGTGCGATGTAGACAACCCATCCTAATACAAGCATTAGTGGCTACTTCCACGTCTCAAACTCGTGACCTATAGGTCACACGGACACATTTTAAGAGAATAATATGAAAGAGAGTGTGAAATTACCGTGGCAAATGAGAATGATGTTTGTAATGGAGTGATAGGTGGGAAGATCGTGGTTGAACATTGTAATTGCTTAAAGTTTTCATCAGTTAAGGAACTAAAACTTCCTTCTGCAGTACTTGTTTGGGACATTTGATAGTTAGGCGTTGTAACTTTAGGTTGAAATCTGCAGTCGAGTTCATTGTTCTCTTTATAATAATTACTTGAAAGTGGTTGCTGGCTAGATGCTGCTGCTGTTTCAGCCTGCAGATATGGCGCTACCGGCCTTAGTGCAGATGTGGGAGTTTCCATTTCAGGCTGGTATAACAAACAACTAGTCACATTACTTGTATTTGTTTAATGCTGGTCTACTAAGTACTTCCTCCGTTGTGGTTTTATACATGTCATAATGTTTGTGTGGCAATAAAAAGCTTCCAGTAAAGGTAAAATGAGAAGTTTAAAGTTAATTGTTATTAAATATAAAAATTTACTAGTCTTCTTGAAACTGATTAATAAGGAAACTAGCACCTAACAATTTGGAATAGAGGGAGTACTTTATAGAGTAGGGTAATGTACTCTAAGATCCAATAATAACTGTATGAAGTCTGTAGTTTTTACTATTGCCAAATGAAATGTTTTTATTCATAGAGATCTAAGTTAATTCATGGACTAGCCCGGTGCACGAAGCATCCCGCATTTACGCAGGGTCCGGAGAAGGGGCGCATCCTAAGGGGTGTGATGTAGAGAGCCTACCCTGATACAAGTATCAGTGGCTGATTCCACGGCTCGAACCCGTGACCTATAGGTCACACAGAGACAACTTTACCGTTGCTCCAACGCTCCCCTTCAATTCATGGACAACACTTATACTAATATAACTGCATGACATAAAAAGAAAGAAGGTTTCTTTTTTTGGTTAAATCAAATTACACTGGACTATTGATGTACAAAACCAAATTAAAAGCTCACCTTGGCAAATTTGAATGAAGTTTGTAAAGTGAGAGTTGGGAAGGTTCTGGTTGAATGTTGTGATTGTTTAAAATTCTCATCAGTTAGAGAACTAAAAGTCCCTTCTTTATGATAAGTAGTCACACCACTTACACTTGTTTGGGACACTGCATCATATATAATTGGAGATGGAAGGTTCATAGAACTGCAAACAAGTCATTAACTTAATTATTGAACATAATTAATGCCTAATTTAATACTTAAACTGATAGGAAACCTTTGAGTAAGAGAAGATGTTTCTGAGGTAGCATAGAGATGACTATTGTTGTTCTCATTAATATAGTTTGTGTAACTATAATCTTCAAGCTCTAGCCATAAGTCATAGGGGGATTTCTCCAATGAGGGCATTGTGTCCTCAGCTTGTGTGTTGTCTATGTATTGAAGAAGTGCATTTATTTGCTATGACAAACCAAAAAAAAATATTTAGTTCCTAGAAATGGTATACATAATGATGTAACATACAAGATTGCAGTCATTTTGATAAATCAAGTGACATTGCTGAAAAGAAAAGAAGGTTTGTATGGCTTAAACTCATGTATTGGAGATACCTATCATATCAGTTTTTCTTCTCTTTGATTGTTTTATTGACACACGCGCGGAGACGGACCTATGTTATACAATGAGCGGTCATCGGTATCGGTAATGTTCGCCAAAAAATTTATGTACATATGTATTTGTCTTTAAAAAATGATATTTTTGTAGTGACACCTTATATACAAAGCAAATTTTGATTGAATACAAATGTGCACCCGCTACTTCTAAATTCTGGGTCCGCCTCTGCTAAGGGTGGCACGTGGGTTGGGCCCGGTCCTAAGTGGATTTCGTGGGCCCGGTCCTAAGTGGGCCGGTCCTAAGTGGTCCCGGGGTTCGTGGGCTTCTTGTTGGAACCGGCCCGGGACCGGGACCACGAACTAACGGTCTCGGGCCTAAGTGGACCCAACAAATACTTTCTATTTTTTTATTTTTTTTATAGAAATTAGAGGGAAAAAAATGGTAATAAAAATATCTAAGTCAATTCCTTGTAAAATATATTATAGAATTGTGACCTAAGTTTTTTAATTCAAATTTAAAGACAAAAATAAGCTATATTCGATATATACTATACTATATATACATATTAAGATATATATATATATATATATATATATATATATATACACACACACACATATATATATATAACATANGGAGGGGGGTTAAATGCTTATTTTATAAATAGCCAATGACTATTTTGGCAGGTAAAACGGCCATATTTTAAATGCCATAAAGGCTATAATGTGGCAGATTTGTTTTTTAAAAAAAATTAGCCGTTGGGCCCGGATAGGCCCGTTTAGGACCGTTTGAACCGGCCCACTTCCCAACCAGTCCCGGTCCCAACCGGTCCCGGTCTCGCGGGCCTCACCTATGGGACCGGCCCACTACCCAGCCCATCTCCCCACGGTCCCGGTCCTATCCGGTTAGGACCGTTTAGGCCCACCATCCATTTGGGCTTGCGATCTTGGACCGAGCCCGGTCCTAACCGGCCCGCATGCCACCCTTAGCTTCTGCATACGCCCACGTTGCACACACATTCTTCTCATTTGTGTGCTTGTGTATGCACGCGCATGTTTGTGTTTCTGAGTGCATGTGTGCGCGTGTGAGTTATATAAAAGGAGATAACTTTATACTTTATGGTAAGATATGTCAATGACTAGTATTAACCTTCCAGAATTTAGTGTTAACCATATATATAAGCATCTCGACCTTGAGCAAAAGAAATGCATATTCAAATATCTTATCCTTTTTATTTCTTATCATAAACTTAAAAGAACATAAATATTTTTAAATTATCTTTACCTCCATATTATCTTCATAGCTTGATGTATGATTGCTCGAGAGTTGTTCCTAAAAAAAAATTAAATTATTAAAATTTGAACACAAAAAATTAGTAGATTGTAATCTTGGTTATTTGGGCAAAAAATAACAGGTATGCAGTCATACCATTCTTTGTCTAACTTGGTTTAAGGCAACCTGAAGACGTTTTTCACACAAATCTAGCTCATGGAGTGATGTAAGTTTTTGTGTATCTGGTTCAAATATTCTTTAAATAAAGTCAAAATGTGAAAGGAGAATATATCAGATAACAATTCAAAGAATTAAAAAGTAATTAAGAAAATAAAATAAAATCGTATCATATGAGTAAAGAATATGATTAGCTCAAAGGAGTGTTTCTTCCATTTCTTTAATTACCTTAATAATCCCTCAGCCTCATCGAGTTTACAATGCAAGCCATTGATTTCTTCTTGAATTTTCTAAGAAAAAAACAAAAGAGAAAACAATTAATCTTAAGGTTGATAATACAAAAATGAAATGTAATATGGAAACAACAAAACAGAGAAAATTAATTAGTTAAGCACCTTTGCCGTGTCATTTGTGTTGAGGTATGCAGGACTTATCCTAATAAATTCAGTAAAAAGAATTATGATAAATAATATACGCAAAGAGTTGTTCCAAAAAAAAAAAAAATCATAGATGTAAGAAAACATACCTTTCAATATCGCAGAATTTATCTTGAATTTCAATCTTCCTTAGGTTCCAGAGTACAGACTGCATGTAGAATGCAGTAATTAAGATGAATTGCCTTTTAGTTTTTCTTTTAGTTTTTCTTCCCTAGCCCCTATATTCCTGATTTATAAGAGTTTAACTTTTGTATATTACACTATAAGACGATATATTATTATAGGTTAAGATATATTAATATAAAATTCTTCATATGTCATTGTGTATAGAAAAATCCTATTTAGAAAGCATAGAACATTACTCTCTCCGTCCTTTAATTGTCTCTTTAGCTCAACAAACTGTCCGAAATTAACTGTCAATTTAAGATTTCAAGACTAAATTTGTGAGTTGTTTTCAATTATACCCTTAATATTAAAGGAATAATAGTTCTTTTTAATATTCTCAAAAAGTATTTAGGGGTTATTTAGTAAATTATATTTTGTAATTATTATTTTTCTTAATGAACTTAAAAAGAGCTAAAACGACAGTTAAAATGGGATAGAGAGAGTAATCATGACCATAAAAAGTAAGTAAAGCTCACCTCTTTATTATTGATATAGCTGCAATTGACAAAGAAATTTTGAGTTAGATAGTGTATTTTATAAAATAAATAAAAGATGAAAAAGAAAAGAACTCAACTAAAAGCAACAAAGAAGGGGAAAAGTTTCATAAACTAATAAATGAAAAACTTACAATCCTCTTTCACTATCCGGGAGATTGACGAGTTCCGAAAGAACATCTTCAATTCTGCATTGATAAAATCAGCTTATTAGTAATCAAATTTGATTTTTTATATATTTGTTTTTTCTGCAGTTTTCTAAATTTATATAAATAGAATTTTTTTGTGCTTAATAAAAAAATTATGTAGAAACTAACGATGCAATAAAATACTACTAGTATCATTATTACAATCATATATAGACAAAATATCAGCTATTGTATTTGTCTGAAAATATATTGTACAGGTGGCCCTCCAAAATACAATGATTTGCATTCTGTTATGTCTATATAATTCTAAAATCTCTAGAATTTTACTTCTTGAAACAAATCAATCTTTTTTTAATTCAATTTTTGTAACAATTTAATTGATCTCAATCAACAACAACACAGAGATTTCAGACAATTCAATTTCTTCTCGACTGGCCTATTATGCGACTGGAAAAAATCTAGAACATGTTCTTATGAATTTCATCTCTTCTTATAAAATTACAACAATTATATATTTATATGCATGGGAAGAGTTTCATTACCTTCTTTTACGTGAATAATGTGTGAGACGACCAGAAGGAGAGAACATGATAATAGCAACATCTACATCACATAAAACTGATAATTCATAAATCTTTTTGAGAATTCCATTTCTTCTCTTGCTAAATGTGACTTGTCTGTTTGTCAAGCTCTCTATCTTCAACAATGGCAACTTACTTCGTCCCATTATAACTTTTTTATCTTTCTATAATTTAGAAAGATATATACACATATATAATTGTAATAATCAATTAAAAAATGCATGTTCCATTTTTCCGATTGATGTAGACATTACATTCGCACATATTTTGCATTCAATTTGTTGCTAGAAATGATCCATTCCATCCCATTAACGTGAAGTTTTTATATATGGTCAATGGAATATAAGGAAATTAAGGAAGATTATAGGGATGGATGTGATGCTAAATATGAGGGAAAAGAAATTGACGAGATTTTACATTTGTGTTTTTAGGGTAATGAAAATATTGATTCCCATATACGAAGGGATAAAAAGAGATCATGGTTTTTAAAGAAGAGAAGGAGAAGGAAAAAACTTAGAAGTTGAGAAGGTTAATGGTGGGAATAATTGATTTTGTCCTAAAAGAATGGGGAAGTTGGGGTGGACGGAATATACTCGAATTATACAGGAACGAAAAAAAATTATTTGGACTCTTGAACAAAAATATGTTAATTTAGTTAAATAATAAATTGAGATAAGAAAATGCATTAATTATCTTAAAGCTCGTATAAAATACGCATGTCATGTACATATTATATATAATGCATAAGATACTAGTAAGTCTTTTTTGTATGCAAGGGTATGCTAGTGATTAGATAATAAGGGCTTATTGGGTAATTAAGTTCTTTTATGGTGATTTATGGCTGAGATTTTTGAAAATAGATGAGACTTGGACTTTGGATTTTTTTTTTTTAATGACCGAAAAATTTGTCCAGAGCCAATTCTTTGGACCAATTACCGCTTTTGAAATTGGGGAATAATGAGACCGCCCTTCTATCGTTCTTCATTTAAATATAAGAGATAGTTTGTTTGGTATAGGATTTGAACTTGTGATCTAAGACACAAGTCCATCAACCTTTGTCGCTGACCTTGGAGGCTGGACTTTTGAGATTCTTTCAAGAAGTATATTTGAAAAAAGAATTGTGAGTAGATTTTAAATTTATCTAAACAAAAAGTTTCTTTTTTGTTTTTCTTCTGAAAAGAAGAAGAAGAAACTAGTGGGGTTTATTGTCACATAGGATGGACTAGAGTGCGGGGCGGATTTAGTACAACAGTTACGGGTTTACGTGAACTCAACAATTTTTGTCTAAACCTTGTAGTTATATTAAGAAGGAAGCATTATGCGACGCATCAAACATTGACCATGTATTTATCATTCGTAGCTATATTTGAATTTTATAGCAAATCCATGAAATAATAGATTAATTGCTGGTTAGAGTGCACGCTTAGCTAGCGAAGGTCTTGAGTTCGAATCTCAACAAGAACATTTTATTTTTCTATATTTATGTATTTCGCCTTAGTTGTATTTATTGCGCGAACAAATACAGTCGATACAGGCTGTATCCTTTGTATATACACATGTATATGATACAAGTTGTATCCTTTTGTATACACCTTATATTTCACTTAGGTTACATTTGATACATATTGCATTCGTTGCACTTAGGCTCTAAACTATAGTGGTTTATGAAAATTATTCCATTAAGTATGTAAAAATATATAACTCAGAATCCAATTTAGTAGCCCGATTATTATTGTATATTAACTTGAGATAGTTGAAAGAACATATAAACTTAGGACTCGTTTGTCCAAGAAATTTTGTGAGTTTTTGGAATTTTTTTGAAAATGAGTTCAAAATTTTCAAAAAATTTCTTTCCCCACTCATAAAGCTGCAATAATTTTTCAAGTGAAATGCATATCCAAATATAATTTCAAAATTCAAATATCATTTTTCAACTTAACTCTAAATACTATTTTTTTTCAAAAACTATAATTTTTATCTCCAAACACCTACTTAAAATCCTTGATTCACATCTGTCTTGAAGTGGGATCGTTGAAATTAGACCTCAAAGAGTCTAGAAACAAAAAGGTTAAAGCCTCAATCATATGAGAGAGATATTGTTGTATAATTTGACTTGAAATAGGAGACCAACATTTTGCCCCTATCAATAATGGTACAAATCGTAGTACCTCGGTTCACTTTTATTTGTCCATTATGAACTTTGCATCCTCCTAAAAAATAATAAATGAAATACATAATTTATCTTGATACTCATATTAATTGATGCATATTTTTAATGGATTTGAGAAAATGATTTGAAATGAGTAATTAATACTGTGGGTATAATATGAAAAAAAAAAAAATTGTCTTCTATTAATATGCTAAAAGTGACAAGTAAAAGTAAAAATTTATTTTTAGAATAATGGACAAGTAAAAGTGAACGGATATAGTATTACAATCTTATGCTGAGAACCATTATAGTAGTAGCTAGAGGAGGGAGGGAGAGATTTTGGTCCTTTCATGCGTTGTACAACATCAATCAATTCGTGAATAAATGCACTAGAAAATTTATTGAGAGAAAGAATCTGAATTAATTACAAGGTACTATCGGAAATTTAAAAAGAAGTAAAGACTTTTTAAATATGCCATAATGTGAGAAATTTAAATTAAATGTTTTCAAATTTAAAAAATAGACAATCTTTTTAACGGATTAAAATGAAAATATTACCAGCTATAAATCTAAATTAAATTATTTGCCTTTCCTATTTATAGAAGGTAATCACGTACGCCAATCTCTTTTCAGCTGTAATTCAGCTAGCATTCATAAATGTGACATAAAAAAAGAATGATAAATCTAAAAAATAGTATGTGAAATTACATCCGATCTAGCAATAAAGTTTAATCTTGTCAAGCTCTGAAGTTTCTTCTTTAAGTGATCATTATCGGCAGAATTGGGACTCGCTCGACGCTGGCCCCAGGGCGGAGCACTCGTAAAATGTCACTGGGCTTATGTGTAGGGCTTAGTTCCGTGAGACTTACGCCTCGGCCGTCGGGGTTTACGCCCTGGACACGTCCAACGCCCAGTGTACTGGGCTCGCCTAATAGAACTTTATGCAATTTTATGTAACTAACCTTGTAAATCCTCAATTTTTCTTAATAAATCGTTGACTATTCAAAATTACTTTTTTTAATCATAAATCATTAAGTTGAGAGTATTTTATGTCATAATTAAAATAAAAATTATTGCACGTTATCCACTAAGACTTCTATGATAGTAAACTTTAAATAAATCTTTCATTTAAAAAGTATTTATTTATTAACTTTTATTTTGTCTTTATTATATAATAGTCCATAATTTTTTTCCTAACTATTATTTTTTCACGTTTACGAGATACAATACTTATTAATTTAATAGCTTAGTATTAGCTAGTAACTATTTACAAATAATTAGTTATCATGGTATTGTATGGTAAATTATGTGTCACTTTATTAACTTGTTAGAAGCTTAAAAATAAATGATGCTAGAGAATCATATTTATATTGTGAATTATGTTTTTAGGTAAATTCTCTTTCAAATAAAAAGCATATTAAATAAAAAGAGTATTTAAAAAAATATTAAATTATAATATCAAAATTCATTCAAGATTCATTACTCCTTAAGAGATGCGTATAAGATTTCATATCGAATACATTACTTTTGTCACAACCCAATTTCACATATAGGTCGTGATAGCGCCCAACACTACAGCTAGGCAAGCCAACAAATAAATTAAACATATATCAATTATTTTCAGAATAATTTTCTAAATAATTTTATTACTTTACTAGCAATATTAAAGAAAATAAAAAAGATACCAATTAATTTAAATCCAAGAAATAATACAAATTTCAAATTCTACCAATGTGTGTGTGCCAAGACCTGGTGTCACAAGTGTATGAGCATCTAGTAGATTATACAAAACTCCAAATATTGTCTCAAATAAAATAGACAGAATATAATTACAAGAAGAGACATTGGTAACTGCAGAACGGCTCAGAAAGGCAACTCACCACTACGCCTCTGGATAACGTGGGTGTAAGATGATAGGTCCTCCAGATGTACCTGCCTCAGATCCTGCACCAAAAGGGCAGCAAGTGTAGTATGAGTACGTAAACAACGTGTACCCAGTAAGTATCAAGCATAATCTCGAAGTGGTAGAGACGAGATGACCGACTTTGACACTCACTAAGGGTCAATAATAATAATTGAAATAAAACTAGAATATCTAAATCATCATGATTCACAGAGTTAACAATAATTTATTTAACCACAAAAAATAATTAAATTCCTTCAAATGCAACAATTTTCAAACTATTAATTAAGTTCACAAACTGCAATTGAAATGCCAAGGTATCGTATAATTATTATTATTAGGCACGATTTCTGCCGAGGTCGTACGACCCCATCCAGAGTATCGTGTACAGTGTCGAGGGACGTGCGGCGCGATCCATAGATGCATCTATCCTGCCGAGGCGTTCGGCCCGCTCCACAAGAAAGGAGAACATTTTCTTATGTACCTCCGGAATGAGAGTATATTTATTATAAGATCAATTCGAGAGGATGAACAATTTCTTTAATAATTAATTAATTTAAACAGAAAATTAAGCATATGAGATTTTCACCTTTTAATAATTTCTCTAACAATTCACAATATATACCAAATAATTTAATTAAATAACGGATATAATTTACATAAGTAATTCATGCTTTGAGTCCTAAAGTACCCGGACTTTAGCATTAATAGTTGCTACGCACGGACTCTCGTCACCTCGTGCATACGTAACCCCCACAATTAGCAACGATTATTAATTTAATTACTTATGAGGTAATTTTCCCCTCACAAGATTAGACAAGAGACTTACTTCAACTTGCTCCAATTTAATCCACTATAAGGCCTTTTCCACGATTATCCAACTCTGTTTGGCTCGAATCTAGCCAAAATAATTCGATACAATCACTAAAAATTATAGGAATCAATTCCATAAGAAAATACTATATTTTTCAATAAAAATTCGAAATTAATTCAAAAATCTTCCGTGGGGCCCACGTCTCGGAATCCGGCAAAAGTTATGAAATATTAATGCCCATTCAACCACGAGTCTACCCATATCAAAATTACTAAATTCCAATAACAATTCGGCCCTCAAATCCTCAAATCTATCCAAGAAGGTTTTCAAACTTTTTCAACTTAATTCACCAATTAAATGATAAAAACAGTGATGGATTCGGGTAATTTAACCAATATTGAGTTAAGAACACTTACCCCGTTGTTTTCTCTGAAAATCTCCCAAAAATCGCCTCAATCCGAGCTCTAAATTGATAAAAAGGAGTCCCATTTTCAAAACTTAAACTTAATTCCCAATGATTTCTTCTACGCGATCGCGAACTTCCTCATGCGATCGCGTAGAACAAGTTTTCACTGCCCAGA